TGATCCTTTGTAGGCTATGTTCTTCCACTCTGGTTTATCTTTTAACTTTTTTTAAAAAAATTGTTTTTATTGCCGAAGCCGGTTTGGCTCAGTGGATCTATCCTTTGTGGGCTATGTTTTTCCACTCTGGTTTATCTTTTGGCTTTTTTAAAAAAATTGTTTTTATTTATTTTTAGAGAGAGAAGGAGAGAGATAGAAACAGTGATGAGAGAGAAACATCAATTGGCTGCCTCCTGCACACCCCTACTGGGGATAAGCCAGAAACATGGGCATGTGCCCTGACTGGGAATTGAACCCAAGGAATTCTTGGTGCATGGGACGGTGTTCAACCACTGAGCAATACCGGCCGGGCTATCTTTTCCCTTTTTTATAGTGTGTTTTAGTAAAGATACATTTTCCTTTTTATATTTTGTGCTTTTACATCTCATTGATAAATGTCTACCATAAATTCATAAAGATATTCTCTGATTTTTATTCTTTATGTTTTTAAGTTTTATTTTTCTCATTTATATCTTTGATACACTAGGACTTTTGTTTTTCATTATTGTAAGAAAAAGAGAAATATACATTTCCCCCCTATAAATATAAACTATGATGTCCTAGCACCATTCATTGAGAACTTCATCCTTTCCCCCTGATCTATATCACGTTTGTGTGTGTGTGTGTGTGTGTGTGTGTGTGTGCATGCACGCGCGCTGTGTATTGTTGCACAGCAAAATATCCCAAAACTTAGTAGCTAAAAACAATAAGTATTTATTATCTCATGGTTTCTGTGGGTTAAGAAGCTGGGAAGGTCTGACTGGGTAGTTCTGGCTCAGGGTTTGTCATGAATTGAAAATTAAGGTGTCAACTGGGGCAGCAGTCATCTCAAAACTCTACAGGGAAAGGACCCACTTCCAAGCTTACTCATGTGGCCACTGGCAGGCCTCGGGTTCTAGCTGTTGAGAAGAGGCATCAGTTCCTTGCTATGTGAGTCTTACCATACTGTTGCTTACAACATGACAGCTTGCTTACCTTCGGAGTGGGAGATTGGAGATAAAGCAAGTGAGAGAGCTCCAGATATAAGGATCACAGTCATATAATCTAATCTCAGAAATGACATCCCATCACTTCTGCAATAGCACAAGAGTGTGAATACCAGGAGGTAGGGATCATAGGGGCCATCTTACAGCTGCCTAACACAGTTCCCATTTATTGATCTACTAGAGGCCCAATATACAAATTCGTGCAAGAGTGGGCCTTCCTTCTCCCGGCTGCCAGCACTGGCTTCCCTCTGGCACCTGGCAACTAGGCTTCCCTTCCAGCCCTGGCTTCATCTGGAAGGTCATCCGGAAGGATGTCCAGAAGGACATCTGGTCTAACTAGCATATTACGCTTTTATTATTATAGATACCAGTGCCATTATCACACTGTGTTACTGTAACTTTATATTAAGTTGTTATCTGGAAGTTTAGGTCCCTACTTATTTATTCTCCAAAGGTGTCTTGCCTTTTGGGAGACTTTAAAAATAGAATCTAGAATTAATTTATTCAGCAATGGACATAAGACACTGGGGGGTAGGGGAAGCTTTATATTAAGTTGTTATCTGGAAGGTTAGGTCCCTACTTATTTATTTTCCAAAGGTGTCTTGCTTTTTGGGAGGCTCTAAAAATAGAATCTAAAATTAATTTATTCAGTTCATGAAAAGCCCATAATATTTTTGTTGGAATTGCTTTACATTAATAAACTAATTTGTAAGCAAATCAATATTTTAAGACACTGAGTCTTTCTATCCATTCACCTGCTTTATCTCTCACATATTCTAGGAAGTTCACTAGAGGGATTGGGGGGAGGGGAACACACACACACACACACAGTTTGGGTGTCTTTTCAATAAAATATCTCAGATAAATTTCTTTTGTCTGGGCTTGCTATACAAAAATTAAGTGTTAACACACAATATATACAGAGTTTGTATATTGTCTCAATTTCTGGGTTTAATAGCTTTAAGGTCTATTTCCATGTTAAAGTTCTATAGTTCTAGTACATTGAGTTTTGATGAAATATCCCTCAATAAGTTAGCATTAGGTATGCACAAAATTTGTTGAAATTCTTATCATGCCCACCTTTTTGCAGTGGACATCTATAGTTCAGTTTGAACCAACTCTCTCTTCTTTTGGGAACTGATCCTCTCCCCCACTTCCCCCCCAGCCCCACTGCAACCAGGTAAGTTCTAATCCAAACTGCCTTGACCACAGTAGTAAGCACAGGTCCTAGCCTCGGTCAATCATAGCTTCTCCCTGAATTTTATCAAATTGGAATTCAGGGAGGAGATTAATTCCTCTCTGGTGAGAAACTGAGAGGCTGAAAACTTCAAGTGACTAGACAGACAACTGGAGCAAGTGTGCCTGAGAAAATGAAGCTGACATGAAGAAAGAAGCTGAGATGAGAGATGGAGACATCGTGGTGGTGTCCAAGGCCATAGTCCCAGATTCCTGATGCCTGGTGGTAATCCAAACTGCCTTGACCACAGTAAGCACAGGTCCTAGCCTCAGCCAATCATAGCTTCTCCCTGGATTTTATAAAATTGGAATTCAGGGAGGAGATTAATTCCTCTCTGGTGCGAAACTGAGAGGCTGAAAACTTCAAGTGACTAGACAGACAACTGGAGCAAGTGTGCCTGACAAAATGAAGCTGACATGAATAAAGAAGCTGAGATGAGAGATGGAGACATCGTGGTGGTGTCCAAGGCCATAGTCCCAGATTCCTGATGCCTGGTGCCAGAG